TGACAGATGCATTCAGATTGTGGACAAGCTGAGGACAAGTTAATATTAACAAAAAAGACTTCACAAAGGCTGAAAGACCAAGTCACAAAGACATCAAAACCAGCAGGACAATATTCCACAGGTGTTACAGTTATTAGGGGAGAACGAAGGAAAGTATTATTTTCTCATCAGAGAAGAAAAGCTATGACCAATGATGCCAAGAAGGCTAGACCAAAAATACAGCTGCAAGAAATACCAAACTTAGGATACCGAGCTTTTCACTGAGCTGGCAAATTACCTTAGGACATTTGCCCCGTTTCCAAAGTCTGCAGGAAAATTATTTACCTTCTTCATTTCAATCCTGGTGTTGAAAATTGGGATTTTAAACAAATCTTGATCATAATCTGAAGGTACATTCCAATTTATGGGGCTCTAAACAAACTTTTTGGCCAAACTTAGGATACCGAGCTTTTCACTGAGCTGGCAAATTACCTTAGGACATTTGCCCCGTTTCCAAAGTCTGCAGGAAAATTATTTACCTTCTTCATTTCAATCCTGGTGTTGAAAATTGGGATTTTAAACAAATCTTGATCATAATCTGAAGGTACATTCCAATTTATGGGGCTCTAAACATAACTTTTTGGCAACTATTTTTTTTCCATATTCAGTGAACAGAGAATAAAGAACTGTTCAGCAGCATCGCAACACCTGCTATTCCCAGAAGATAAATTCTTCACAGATTAATCAGAAAGCAGACATCATGACTATTGCCAAGAGTGCCCTATAAACATTATGAGTGAAAGTCCACACAATAAACAGGAGCATTTTCATCTATAATCACATCTAGTGCTATAAAGCACAAGTGACATTCAATCAACTGTGCATTTGACTAATAGTCAGTCTGAAACAGCAGTGGCAAGGCAGAGCTGTTGCAACAGCCCTGGAGCAGGGGCTTACACTCCCAGCCTTTTATTTATTTTATTTATTTTTTTGTCTAGCTCACTCCAACACCCATCATCTTTTAGTAGCGCTCTCACAATGATTATTGAATAAACAGTCAGCATTTTCCTAGCCATTTTTACAAGGCCACAGAAGAATATGTGGAAGTTTGCAGTCTAAAACATTTGCCTTGCTTAAATTTGCTTTCGGTGCAAATAAGATCAGTATAAGATGACCAAAAGTGTTCTTGCAATAAAGGAAAAAAGCATGGTAAATATACTCATAAAAACATCCTCAAGTTGGTTATTTTCCAGACCAAATCCCTACAAGAGACAAAATACACAATTTGGGTTGTTCTTAGGATTACACCAAGATGCCTATCCCATTACAAAATCAGCATGACAGAAAATATTCAAGTGATTTTCTTCTCATTCTCAAAACACTCAACAGATCAACTGCAAAATTAAATCCAGGCGGGAAGCAGGCACTTTCTCAGCAGTCAGCCCAGGAGAACGTGGCTCGGGCAGGAGCTAGCAGCTACCAGCCCCTGCGGGCAGCTCTCGGGCAGCGCGAGGAGGGCTCCTGCACCCACCCCGCTGCACTGGCCCAGCAGCCGGGTACTGCTGCACACTGGTCCCTGCTTCTGGGAGCGAGGGAGTTGGCAGAGGTGGACCTGGCTACAAGCCCAGCTCAAGCCTTTCTGGAGGAGTTAAACTCCTGGTGAGCCACGGAAGGAGTGTCAGGCCTCTCCCTCCTTCCCCTCGCCCCCCTGAGGTGTGTGTCTCATGGCTTTTAGCCCTTTGGTGTGCAGCTCGTAGACCAAGAAGCATGACACACACCCCTCTCTGGTGATGGCAGGCATAGAGGAAACCATCAAAGCCCGTGCCTAGTTTTCCACCCTGAGAGAAGAGTGTAGAGCTTCCCATATGACAAAAGCCTGTCCTTCACCAGTCACGATCAGCAGTTAAGGTACGCAGTGACAGGCAGTGTGAATGGAAAAAGCAATTAGTCACACTATTAAGTATTAAGCTGCAACGACCCAACATCATGCTCACTCTCTCAGTCTTATCGCTCTCCTCTGTCAACTCCCTTCTCCAGTCTCTCCCATTTTCCTCTCTCTGCTTCCTTACAAAATCATTCAACTCGCAGATCTCTCTGTCTTATCCCAAGCACCAAGGGCTTCCTTTCTGAGCATACACATCGGCCCATTGCATGGCTAATCCCATCTTCCTTCTGTCAAAGACAATGCTATTAGCAGAGCTGACAGGCCCACTAGAATAGTTATCACCTGTTGGCAGCTTGGATGTAATACATACTCCTGTGGTCAAAAGCTAAAAAAGGAGCAAACTCTGTATCTGAAACTACCTACCACTTGTGCCAGTATTACAACGCATACAAAAGATGAGCAGAAAATTGAGATTGTTCTATTATTATGCTCTGCCTAGAAGCATTATTCATGTCCTAGCCTTTCTTACAATCCCCCCCACTAGCCACATTATTCTCTTTGGACTAATAAGTTTCATTAATCATATACAAGGAGCTTGAAAAGCGTGAGGGCCAATTTTATTGCAGAAGGAAGATGATACAACAATTAGGCAGCTGAGGCCTTTTAGTGCCTGCAACATGTGGGTTTGCCTGAGCTGTGGGTTGATAACTCGAGCTTTTTGTTGGCAGTAAACAGGTGATGATCAAAGCCTGACTAGGCTACAATGCTGTAAGCTAATTTTCTGAGAGGTTGCAGCAGGACTGGCTCTTGGGCCATCCCAGAAATAAGAAATCAGGCAAACCATAAGTGCATATGGCTGTTAAGAGCTGTGGAACTGCCAGAGAGCCCATTTCACTGAACACCTGCAGCACAAAGGGACCTATCTCATTGCCAGAGCACCTTGTTTCAGCACATCAAACAAAGTCTGCTCAGAATTTCTAGGAAATGCTGACACGTTGCAGGTGACTGGACCAATTCCACCAAATACAAATTAAGGTGGAAAATAAAACCATGAGCCCAGAAACCATGCTTTTCAGCCAGGGTTAATTATCACAGTGATGTTTCTCCAGAGGGTTTTGCCCCCCGCACTATCATGTCCCTGTCTGTCTGTATTAGATCTTACTCTTCGACATTTCACTTAGTGCAAAGGAGTTATGAAAAGTTCTTGCTTTGCACCCTAAAAATCACAACACACATGCACCATGATTGCCAAAAGCAGGCTGCTCCACAGCCTAACTCTCTTCATTTTGACAGCCATATCATCCTTAGGTTTGGCTGCAATGGTCCAGCTTCTGAATAAGAAGACAGACCCAAATTGCTGTAAGTTGTCCACAGGAACGATCCACGCTCACTTGTCACACTGAGCAGCACCAGCCTAGGAAGCCAGGTTTAGACTCAACTGGGCTAAGCAACAAGAGATCTTTCCCCCATTTCAGAGGCTTCCCATCACAACCAACTCCTTGACAACACCGTAACTGTTAAAGGTCCAGGCTGACAAGGAGAACAAAAAAGGGTGCTGGATCATGCCCATGACGCAGTGCCAGCCGTGGGCCAGCAGAACTGGGAAACCGCTTCCTTAGACTAAGGCACTGCTGTGGATTTTACTAGAGCTAGAAAACGCTTTTTCTAGCTAGCATCACTGAAAACCTGTTTGCACTAATTCCAAGCTATCTGTCACTTTTTTCTCCCAGAGGCTGTATACATGAAAAGGTGCATCTCCTTCCCCACAGGTGACATGAAGCAGCTGTACACAGCTCTGAGATAGTGACCCATCATTGACATTTAACACCACAAGAACGGCTTCGCTCAGTTACCAGGTGCGGATGGACTACCTTCTGTAAGCACTTTTCATTAAGGCAGAGAGTTGCTTTTCATGCCTTTCTAACTAAAATGAAAGGCTGGACTGATATCGGTAGGTGCCCACCCATGTGTATTTAGAAGTGATACAGTGAAATGCAATTAAAAGGCACTGGGACATCCTTATGCCTAAGAACATTGAAGGAGCAGAGATGACTTCCTCCAGTGACGAGCATTCAAAACATACATTTGAGTATACTTATTGCTGCATTAATGTTTGGAAGGTTTGACAAATCTGATGAATGAAAACTGAAATTAACCACCCAAGGGGGGCGGGGGGGGTTCAGCTTGGGGGCACAAGGATGAGAAGAAATAAATTATTTGGTTGGGGGGGGGGGGGGTTTTTTTTTAAAAAAAAACCACGGGGGGGGGTTGTTTGTTTTAAACAAGCACACCACCTGCATTTTTCACAACTTAACACTTCTGTTCTCAGTAAAACCATGCTTTGATCTCAGCCTCTAAGAAACTGCTCAATGAATGTTTACCCAAATAGCCCCAGAAATCATTTAGGTAAATATTTGCATATTTGCACATTTACTTTAAAATTAATCTTAGAAAACTGCCTATTGCTATTTCTCACTTCCATATCAAGTACAATTTCAAATTGGCTTTTTTCTTCCATTATCAATGCAAACAGAAAGTTTAATTGAAAAAAAAAACATTAAAAAATAAAAAATAAACGAAGATGACAAATACCAGACTGTCATCTGCCACATGTAACTATCTACCCAGAAAAAAAAAACACTCTTATTTCTGCTGGATGTGTTTCTTTGACCTTCTATGTTTTGGGGTCCCCTGTGTCACTTCCTGGTTTCCAACACAAAATTGCAAAGAGAATCCAGTTGCTAAAATGGAAAAAAAGTGCTACATTTTCACCAGCAGTCTGTTACTCTGGCACAGAAATATGTCAATTATTGATTTGAGAAGAGACAGCACATACCTCAGAGCCCATTTTCAAACAAAATTCAGATAGGTATTTCCCCAACTCGGTCTTTAAAAGTTTCAAATGTTTCAAGAGCTGCACTGATATTTAGAGAAAGAGAAAAATAATTTACTAGAACAGGTTGCTCTGCCCCACTGTCCTCAGGTCAGGAAAGACAAAGGCTTTTGTGGGGCAGTTTTGAGCGTTCTGCTGGCCTGCTATGCGGCAAGGTCTGAGATTTGTTAGTTGAAGTACAAGTTCAAGTAACTGAGTATCATTAGGAGCTGAGCTGGTATTAGACTGCTTGTGCCTACACTGTTAACAGTTCATATATATCATTCTTGGATTGTAATTCTGATAGATACTCTCTGATAAGACAGGAGGTTTGACCACAGCTACTTTCTCACGTGACAGTGTGGACCTGAAGTTCTCAGTCTGCAATATAAAGAAAAACATAGAATCATAGAACCATTAGGTTGGAAAAGACCTCTAAGATCATCGAGTCCAACCATCAACCC